ACCCTAATCTGTCTAACATAAGCTGAGGTTCAGTTTACTATGATGGATTGTCTTCAGGACGCACATTATCGCAGGAGGGTGTCAACGTCGGGCCATTGCTGGGAAACTTGCGGGAGACGCAGTGCAGGCCTGTCCCTCAAAGGGCCCCCTCCAGCGGTGAAGGGTCATGCCGCTGGTTCCTGTCGCGGCCTTCATGCCGGACGTGGAGCCGCCGACAGTTTTAGCGTTGCCCACGAGTCAAAATCACAAAATTGCCAATAATGGCGATATCCCATTACAGTTGATCACAAATTCTAGTCTAGGACTGTTCTGCATGAACATCGCACCCCCGTTCATTTTTTAAAGACGATGTGAGCCATTTACCGGGTGACTTGCATTGGTGGTGCTCCTACCCTAACACAAGTCTTCCTTGGCCGCCCCTGTCTTGATTGTATGGCACGATGCTTTGTTCTCCTGCCTCCGCCATGGCAAACTCCTCCAAAACCTAGCTATGAGGCCAACCAACAATGAACGCATCCTTCCTCGGCTTCAGCCCAAGTGAAGGGTTGATGGTCTTCAATGTTCCCACGCACCAAGCTCCGATGCATCTAAGCTGCAGGATGCGAGGCAATTTGGGTTCCCATGGGGGCCTAGGGCTCCACGCCGCTGCTCCATGGTCCGCATCGCCATTAGCCTCCTAGTAGGCTCTGCTGAAGAGCTCCAATAACAAAAAGTCACACCTTAAAGTTGTGGCAACTCCGGCTGCGGGGAACGCCGTTGTAATGATAGTGTTTGCCGTTCCCAACATAGCTCATGGTCCATCGTTGGACTCAGTGCATGTGGTCCCTTCATCGTGTGTTGTTGCTCGCTTCATCATTTGTCCAACCCCACCAGGTTGCTTCACATAAACCTCCTCCTCTAGATCTCCATTGAGAAATGCAGACTTGACATCCAAGTTTTGAGGCCTTGAATGGACAGTATGGTCCAAACTTCTAGATTTTTGCGACCGTCTCCAGATTTTCCTATAGCAATGTACTATTTTTGTTTTAGAATTCGTATACGACCTCGGATTGAGATAATCCAAAAATAAAAATTGTTAATTTCAATCATAAGAAGATATTTTATGTCGAAAACTTTTTCCATTTGAAGTCAGATTAATTGTGTATTCTTCCATGCCATAATCTCTTGTCCACACATGCATACCTGAAATGGTCATAAATTTCGTATTGGGCTCCATTTTTTACCATCCTCATATTTATTTTGATCTTCACATTGAGAGGCCATCCAATGCCATCAATTTCACTTCATCTTGCTATAGCTTCAAGCCACTCTTTGGATCATGCCATTTTTGATCGTCAACACCCCCGCCATTGCTGATGCATGATGATGACAAGGTTGCCTCCACTGCTCTTGATAATCAGACATTTGGAGAACTTGATCCCCTTTCCACCCTTGCGGAGATTGCGGACCTTGGTTGTGGAGTTACATATTATGATACGCCGCCAATGTCAATACTATCATATCGTTTGTCAACCAACAGTACCGGTGCATGAGTACAACGACCTCGCAAGGGAACTAAAGCCTCTCCATCAGGTCATTCAAATCTGGGAAGTTGAACAACAAGCCACATTTTACACAGTCAAGGTGCAATAGGGGATCAAATTCATCGAAGATTACCCCAAGGATAAAATTAGCCTGCACTTTGCAGGGTTTTTCAAAATGTTCAGCCTTTTCATGATTGATGTATGCTTCACAAGGCTTTGGGCACTTCATAATGCCATGAAGGCTACATGTCTGAACTATAACATCATTGTCATACTTGATCCTTATCACATGCACGAGAGCAACAAAGCAAGGAAATCATGATAGGGTACCTTTGGAATGGCACACTTGCATATAAGGAGAAGGCAACATACTTGTGCCCTGCCGTCTCATTTTAGTAATTTTCTCCTTCACACTTGCACATATACCAAACTTCATGGGTTGATACCACATTGTTTTGTTCACTTGTTTGTGAAACAACATCCACTTGGTCTTTACAAAAATAGTGCAGGAACCCTTATAGGATTTTACTACTACCAGCGTGCAGGTAAAGCCAGACGATGCCGCTAAATTGGCGAAATACCAGCCACGTGTAGAAAGAAAAGGGGCGCTTCTACTGCTTCAAGACTAGAGGCCAGTAAAATTACACACCTCTACTATGGTACACAAAGGGAGCCTTCACGGCCTGAACTACCAGCAACGTGTAGATAGAGGGAGAACGCTGCTAGTGCCCTAAAATTTAGTAGCGTGCGGGTTGCAGCAAATGCCACTAACGAGTCATGATACTTGCATACCACATTTGCAAGCCCACCTTTGTGGCTTCAAACAACTTGCAACGCATACAGATTAGCATCATGTGCACATTTTGCGTGCTAAAGAAATGTTCCAAGTTAGCTCCTAATAAACAATGATTTAAATATTTTAAAATAAAAACACCAGCGAGCTGGTATATTTGATTATTTATATTACTTTTACCACAAACACCTAAGAGTATCCAAAATGCAACACAAGAACCCAAAATGTCTCTCCAAAACCAGCATTTCCCCCCTTCAAAACTACATATCTCCCCTGGAAATCTTCATCAATTCGGTTTTTAAGCAACATATCACATATTTTCGTGTAAGACTTTGAAATTTGACCCACATTTTAAATTATCGCATGATGGCAGCATGTAAAGTTGTGTTTACAATCCTAAAATGGTAATTCCTAGTAGATGTGAAGCCATGGAGGGAACACAGCTAGTGGATGATCTACCAGTGTGACGTGTACGGTTCACACTGCTAAATTTTATATTACTTTTACCGAAACACCTAAAGGTACATTAAAAGATTGGAACAGAGGATCCCATCTTTGTGCCCAAAAAATTAGAACACAAGACCGCCGAAATGGTGTGGTCGTGCCCATTGTCCGGAGTCTCCACTCCGGCGACCAAGGGGATCCACCTTCACCCACCTTGCACCTTGCGGTCAACCGCGAGCAGGCATCGGTCCACCCCAACTGCTGCAGTAGCGCAACTCCGCCACCCACCACACCCACAACTTTCAGCTTGCGCCCGCACGGAAGTGAACCCTAGTTCTGGGTTACCGAGTGCCCAGACGTAGCAACACTAGTAGAAAAAAGGTCTAATGTGAAGCTCATTAGTCCTGGTTTGTAATTGACCCGACACTAATGTGACCATTAGTGCCGATTCCAACGGCTAAGCGGGTGGCGCTCATTAGTTCCAGTTTGTGGCGAACCTTTAGTATCGGTTCGTGCCACGAACCGGTACTAAAGAGGTGGTGGCCTTTAGTATGGGTTGGTGGCTCCAACCGGTACTAAAGACCCCCCCCCCCTCTTTAGTACGGGTTGGTGGCTCCAACTGGTACTAAAGATCCCCCCCTTTAGTACGGGTTGGTGGCTCCAACCGGTACTAAAGTTGGTGCGCTGCCACCTGCAGTGCGCAATGTTTAGTCACACCTCGCTAGTTGAGAGGAGCTCGCACCGGTTTATAAGCCCCGCCGTGGCTACCGTGTTGAGCTCCCCTCTAAGCAGGCCTTTGTGTGCCTATTGCAAGTCTTCTACCCTGTGGGGCCTATTGGCCATATGGGCCTGCATCCTAGCCCAACTAGAGGTTGGGTTTCTAGTCGTATGTAGGCTGTGCCGGCCCAGTAGGCAGGCTATTTTTGCTTTATTTCAAAAACAATTTCAAAAAAAATCCTTTAGTACCGGTTGGTGTTACCAACCGGGACTAAAGGTCCTCAGACCACGGCGCGGGTTCGCGCCACGTGGTGCCCCCTTTAGTGGCAGTTCGTGCAGAACCAGTACTAAAGGGGGGGCTTTAGTCCCCACCCTTTAGTGCCGGTTGCAGAACCGGCACTAAAGGTCCTTACGAACCGGTAATAAAGCTCTGTTTTCTACTACTACAACAAGGGCACCTACTAGGTATGGGCCATGCCGAAGGAAGCTATTGGCTCGAATCAAGAGCCTATTGGATTAGACGGATCTAGCCTCTTGCGGCAACCAGGAACCCCCTCAATGACCGCTGCCAACCCGTGAGTAGTTGTGCCAACATGACCGGTGGTAGTTGCCCACCTCACACGAATGCTCGACGAGGGCGGTGCCGCCATGAAGCAGGCAATGGATGGCCGAGACTGAGGGACTTTATATGGGTGAGATCAGTCCCTAGATGATGTGTGAGAGAGAGGGAGCACACCCGTGTAGTAGGGGAAAGAGAAGGTGCAGGAGGTGCCTCGCTGCCGCTGCGGGCTGGCCGGAGGCTGTTGGCGGCGAGGGACGGGAGAGCGAAGGAGAAGTTCGTTAGGGCGGCGGTGACACTCGCCATGTGAGTCATAGGAGCTAGTCAGGAAATGTGAGCAGAAACTTAGTTCTGATATACTAAACTGAATTGCAAATATGATTATACTTCTGATTTCTGTATCTCTTCTTTTCTGAAATTTGGTGGGGAATGGTGATGAAAATTGCCATGTTAAAGCCATTCAAAATCGTCTTATACTAAATAGGTTTTTCTTGTCTTTGTTCTTTATCCAAAAAATGTGTTTGTTTGCAACACTGGCAAACCTGATTAACAAAAGGGATCATACATTCGAACGTCGCCATTATCCCGATGAAGGAGCGCCCATCCCATCTAGCAATGTTGTGATGTCAAAAAGTTTAGGTTTTGGATGCCATGTAGAGGAAGAGGACAAAGGACTATCTATATAAAGATCCCTTATTTCAGGAGATGTATAGACGGATCATGTATTTGGAGGGCCTTCCATGGGATAAAATTGCAGTTCAACTTCAAATATTTTTTATTTAGATTCTCCAATATTTTATTTAAGGGAGGGTGTACTGAAGCACAACTCACACCCCAAAAGATAATACCACCACAAAACAATATCTACCCAATCCAACACTTTGTGCACCACACAAGCAATCCAGTCAACATGGGAACGTTATAGTTATTGGGCCACCAACCATCCTTCCTCGATTGGAAATTTTTAGGCGAACATTTTTTTGGCTAAAAAGTTCACAACAAAACGCACCGGGGAGCGAAAGAACGACACTCCCACATTCATCTTGTTGCCATGTGCTTCATTTGCAGCTTCGTCGTTTGGGGCAGCCTCTGCATCCTCCATCTCAACATGTGCCACTGAATTGCTGCGGGTGCTAGTAGGTGCGTCTAGTAAGGGAGCAACCGGCTTGTCAGACGCCTCTCCTTGATCTAGTGGAATGGGAACCCCGCCCCTCATCACCTTGTCAGTGTTGACATCCATTATCGTGTGTGGCTTTTGGGATACCTGGTGCATGTGATCAGTTTCTGGTTGACGGCATTGTTGGAAATATGCCCTAGAGGCAATAATAAAAGGATTATTATTATATTTCCTTGTTCATGATAATTGTCTTTTATTCATGCTATAACTGTATTATCCGGAAATCGTAATACACGTGTGAATACATAGACCACAATACGTCCCTAGTAAGCCTCTAGTTGACTAGCTCGTTGGTCAACAGATAGTCATGGTTTCCTGACTATGGACATCAGATGTCATTGACAACGGGATCACGTCATTAGGAGAATGACGTGATGGACAAGACCCAATCCTAAGCATAGCATAAGATCGTGTAGTTCGTTTTGCTAGAGCTTTTTCAATGTCAAGTATCTCTTCCTTAGACCATGAGATCATGTAACTCCCGGATACCGTAGGAGTGCTTTGGGTGTACCAAACGTCACAACGTAACTGGGTGACTATAAAGGTGCACTACAGATATCTCCGAAAGTGTCTGTTGGGTTGACACGGATCGAGACTGGGATTTGTCACTCCGTATGAGGGAGAGGTATCTCTGGGCCCACTCGGTAATGCATCATCATAATGAGCTCAAAGTGACCAAGTGTTGGGTCACGGGATCATGCATTACGGTACGAGTAAAGTGACTTGCCGGTAACGAGGCTGAACGACGTATTGGGATACCGACGATCGAGTCTCGGGCTTGTAACGTACCGATTGACAAAGGGAATAGTATACGGGGTTGTTCGAATCCTCGACATCGTGGTTCATCCGATGAGATCATCGAGGAGCATGTGGGAGCCAACATGGGTATCCAGATCCCGCTGTTGGTTATTGCCCGAGAGCCGTCTCGGTCATGTCTACGTGCCTCCCGAACCCGTAGGGTCTACACACTTAAGGTTTGGTGACGCTAGGGTTGTATGAATATGAGTATGCAGTATACCGAATGTTGTTCGGAGTCCCGGATGAGATCCCGAACGTCACGAGGAGTTTCGGAATGGTCCGGAGGTAAAGAATTATATATAGGAAGTGGTATTTCGGCCATCGGGAAAGTTTCGGGGTCACCCGGTATTGTACCGGGACCACCGGAAGGGTCCCGGGGGTCCACCGGGTGCGGCCACCCATCTCGGAGGGCCCCATGGGCTGAAGTGGGAGGGGAGCCAGCCCATAGTGGGCTGGTGCGCCCCCCTAGGCCCACCCCCTGCGCCTAGGGTTGAAACCCTAGGGTGAGGGGGGGCGCACCACATGCCTTGGGGGGCACTCCTCCCCCCTTGGCCGCCGCCCCCTTGGGAGATTGAATCTCCCAGGGTCGGCGCCCCCCCCCCTGGGGGCCTATATAAAGGGAGGGGGAGAGGGTCAGCCGCACCCTGAAGTCCTGGCGCCCCTCCCCCTGCTACACCTCTTCCTCCTCCGTCACGTGCTTGGCGAAGCCCTGCCGGAGTGCTGCTATTCCACCACCACCACGCCGTTGTGCTGCTGCTGGAGCCATCATCATCAACCTCTCCTTCCCCCTTGCTGGATCAAGAAGGAGGAGACGTCACACGCACCGTACGTGTGTTGAATGCAGAGGTGCCGTCCGTTCGGCGCTAGGATCTGCGGTGATCTGAATCACGGCGAGTACGACTCCATCATCACCGCTCCATCTAACGCTTCCGTACGCGATCTACACGTGGTATGTAGATGCAAACTCACTCCCTTGACTCGTTGCTTAGATGAACTCATAGATGGATCTTGGTGAAACCGTAGGAAAAATTTTAATTTTCTGCAACGTTCTCCAACAGTGGCATCATGAGCTAGGTCTATGCGTAGTTCTCTATTGCACGAGTAGAACACAATTTTGTTGTGGGCGTAGATCTTGTCAACTTGCTTGCCGCTACTAGTCTAATCTTGCTTCAGCGGTATTGTGGGATGAAGCGGCCCGGACCAACCTTACACGTACGCTTACGTGAGACCGGTTCCACCGACTGACATGCACTAGTTCCATAAGGTGGCTGGCGGGTGTCTATCTCTCCCACTTTAGTTGGAGCGGATTCGATGAAAAGGGTCCTTATGAAGGGTAAATAGAAGTTGACAAGATCACGTTGTGGTTATTCGTAGGTAAGAAAACGTTCTTGCTAGAACCAAATTGCAGCCATGTAAAAGATGCAACAACAATTAGAGGACGTCTAACTTGTTTTTGCAGCAATTGTCATGTGATGTGATATGGCCAGAAGTTGTGATGAATGATGAATGATATATTGTGATGTATGAGATCATGTTCTTGTAATAGGAATCACGACTTGCATGTTGATGAGTATGACAACCGGCAGGAGCCATAGAGTTGTCTTTATTTTTTGTATGACCTGCGTGTCATTAAAGAACGCCATGTAAATTACTTTACTTTGTTGCTAAACGGGTTAGCCATAGAAGTAGAAGTAGTTGTTGGCGTGACAACTTCATGAAGACACGATGATGGAGATCATGATAATGGAGATCATGGTGTCATGCCGGTGACGAAGATGATCATGAAGCCCCGAAGATGGAGATCGAAGGAGCTATATGATATTGGCCATATCATGTCACTATTATATAATTGCATGTGATGTTTATTATGTTTATACATCTTGTTTACTTAGAACGATGGTAGTAAATAAGATGATCCCTTACAAAATTTCAAGAAATGTTCTCCCCTAACTGTGCACCGTTGCTAAAGTTCGTCGTTTCGAAGCACCACGTGATGATCGGGTGTGATAGATCCTTACGTTCACATACAACGGGTGTAAGACAGTTTTACACATGCAAAACACTTAGGGTTAACTTGACGAGCCTAGCATGTATAGACATGGCCTCGGAACACGGAGACCGAAAGGTCGAACACGAGTCGTATGGAAGATACGATCAACATGAGAATGTTCACCGATGATGACTAGTCCGTCTCACGTGATGATCGTACACGGCCTAGTCGACTCGGATCGTGTAACACTTAGATGACTAGGGGGATGTCTAATCTAAGTGGGAGTTCATTATATTAATTTGATTAGATGAACTTAATTATCATGAACTTAGTCTAAAACCTTTGCAAAAATATGTCTTGTAGATCAAATGGCCAACGCTCATGTCAACATGAACTTCAACGCGTTCCTAGAGAAAACCAATCTGAAAGATGATGGCAGCAACTATACGGACTAGGTCCAGAACCTGAGGATCATCCTCATAGCTGCCAGGAAACAATATGTCCTAGAAGGACCGCTAGGTGACGCTCCCGTCCCAGAGAACCAAGACATTATGAATGCTTGGCAGTATCGTGCTGATGATTACTCCCTCGTTCAGTGTGGCATGCTTTACAGCTTAGAACCGGGGCTCCAAAAGCGTTTTGAGCAACACGGAGCATATGAGATGTTCGAGGAACTGAAACTAGTTTTCCAAGCTCATGCCCGGGTCAAGAGATATGAAGTCTCCGACAAGTTCTATAGTTGTAAGATGGAGGAAAATAGTTCTGTGAGTGAGCACATACTCAAAATGTCTGGGTTGCACAACCGCCTGTCCCAGCTGGACATTAACCTCCCGGATGAGGCGGTCATTGACAGAATCCTCCAGTCGCCCCCACCAAGCTACAAGAGCTTTGTGATGAACTACAATATGCAGGGGATGGTGAAGACCATTCCTGAAGTATTCTCAATGCTAAAATCAGCAGAGGTTGAAATCAAGAAAGAACATCAAGTGTTGATGGTCAATAAGACCACTAAGTTCAAGAAGGGCAAGGGTAAGAAGAACTTCAAGAAGGACGGCAAAGATGTTGCCGCGCCCGGTAAGCCAGTTGCCGGGAAGAAGTCAAAGAATGGACCCAAGCCTGAGACTGAGTGCTTTTATTGCAAGGGGAAGGGTCACTGGAAGCGGAACTGCCCCAAATACTTAGCGGATAAGAAGGCCGGCAACACTAAAGGTATATTTCATATACATGTAATTGATGTGTACCTTACCAGTACTCGTAGTAACTCCTGGGTATTTGATACCAGTGCCGTTGCTCATATTTGTAACTCACAGCAGGAGCTGCGGAATAAGCGGAAACTGGCAAAGGACGAGGTGACGATGCGCATCGGGAATGGTTCCAAGGTCAATGTGATCGCCGTCGGCACGCTACCTCTACATTTACCTATGGGATTAGTTATAAACCTTTATAATTGTTATTTGGTGCCAAGTTTGAGCATGAACATTGTATCTGGATCTCGTTTGGTACGAGATGGCTACTCATTTAAATCCGAGAATAATGGTTGTTCTATTTATATGAGAGATATGTTTTATGGTCATGCCCCGATGGTCAATGGTTTATTCTTAATGAATCTCGAACGTAGTGTTACACATATTCGTAGCGTGAATACCAAAAGATGTAAAGTTGATAATGATAGTCCCGCATATTTGTGGCACTGCCGCCTTGGTCACATTGGTGTCAAGCGCATGAAGAAGCTCCATGCTGATGGACTTTTAGAGTCTCTCGATTATGAATCATTTGACACATGCGAACCATGCCTCATGGGCAAAATGACCAAGACTCCGTTCTCCGGAACAATGGAGCGAGCAACCAACTTGTTGGAAATCATACATACCGATGTGTGCGGTCCAATGAGTGTTGAGGCTCGCGGAGGATATCGTTATGTTCTCACTCTCACAGATGACTTGAGTAGATATGGGTATGTCTACTTGATGAAACACAAGTCTGAGACCTTTGAAAAGTTCAAGGAATTTCAGAATGAAGTAGAGAATCAACGTGACCGAAAGATAAAATTCTTACGATCGGATCGTGGAGGAGAATATTTAAGTCACGAATTTGGTACACACTTAAGAAAATGTGGAATCGTTTCACAACTCATGCCGCCTGGAACACCTCAGCGAAACGGTGTGTCCGAACGTCGTAATCGTACTCTATTGGATATGGTGCGATCCATGATGTCTCTTACCGATTTACCGCTATCATTTTGGGGATACGCTCTAGAGACAGCTACATTCACTTCAAATAGGGCACCGTCTAAATCCGTTGAGACGACACCGTATGGATTATGGTTTGGGAAGAAACCTAAGCTGTCGTTTCTAAAAGTTTGGGGATGCGATGCTTATGTCAAGAAACTTCAACCTGAAAAGCTCGAACCCAAGTCGGAAAAATGCGTCTTCATAGGATACCCTAAAGAAACCATTGGGTATACCTTCTACTTAAGATCCGAGGGCAAGATCTTTGTTGCCAAGAACGGATCCTTTCTAGAAAAGGAGTTTCTCTCGAAAGAAGTAAGTGGGAGGAAAGAAGAACTTGATGAAGTACTACCTCTTGAACAGGATAGTAGTGCAGCTCAGGAAAATGTTCCTGTTATGCCTACTCCAACTGGAGAGGAGATTAATGATGATGATCAAGGTACTTCTGATCAAGTTGCTACTGAACTTCGTAGGTCCACAAGGACACGTTCCGCACCAGAGTGGTACGGCAACCCTGTCCTGGAAATCATGTTGTTAGATAACGGTGAACCTTCGAACTATGAAGAAGCAATGGCGGGCCCAGATTCCAACAAATGGCTTGAAGCCATGAAATCCGAGATAGAATCCATGTATGAAAACAAAGTATGGACTTTGACTGACTTGCCCCATGATCGGTGAGCGATAGAAAACAAATGGATCTTTAAGAAGAAGACGAACGCGGATGGTAATGTCACCATCTATAAAGCCCGACTTGTCGCTAAGGGTTATCGGCAAGTTCAAGGGATTGACTATGATGAGACTTTCTCTCCCGTAGCGAAGCTTAAGTCTGTCCGAATCATGTTAGCAATTGCCGCATACTATGATTATGAGATATGGCAGATGGACGTCAAAACGGCATTCCTTGACGGGCATCTTAAGGAAGAACTGTATATGATGCAGCCGGAGGGTTTTGTCGATCCTAAGAATGCTAACAAAGTATGCAAGCTCTAGCGATCCATTTATGGGCTGGTGCAACCATCTCGGAGTTGGAACATTCGCTTTGATGAAATGATCAAAGAATTTGGGTTTATGCAGACTTATGGAGAAGCCTGCGTTTACAAGAAAGTGAGTGGGAGCTCTGTAGCATTTCTCATATTATATGTAGATGACATACTTTTGATGGGAAATGATATAGAATTCTTGGACAGCATTAAGGCCTACTTGAATAAGTGTTTTTCAATGAAGGACCTTGGAGAAGCTGCTTATATATTAGGCATCAAGATCTATAGAGATAGATCGAGACGCCTCATAGGTCTTTCACAAAGCACATACCTTGATAAGATTTTGAAGAAGTTCAAAATGGATCAGTCCAAGAAGGGGTTCTTGCCTGTATTGCAAGGTGTGAGATTGAGCTCGGCTCAATGCCCGACCACGGCAAAAGATAAAGAAGAGATGAGCGTCATCCCCTATGCCTCAGCCATAGGATCTATTATGTATGCCATGCTGTGTACCAGACCTGATGTAATCCTTGCCGTAAGTTTGGTAGGAAGGTACCAAAGTAATCCTGGCAAGGAACACTGGACAGCGGTCAAGAATATCCTAAAGTACCTGAAAAGGACGAAGGACATGTTTCTCGTTTATGGAGGTGACGAAGAGCTCGTCGTAAAGGGTTACGTCGACGCTAGCTTCGACACAGATCTGGATGACTCTAAGTCACAAACCGGATACGTGTATATGTTAAATGGTGGAGCAGTAAGCTGGTGCAGCTGCAAGCAGAGCGTCGTGGCGGGATCTACATGTGAAGCGGAGTACATGGCAGCCTCAGAGGCAGCGCATGAAGCAATTTGGGTGAAGGAGTTCATCACCGACCTAGGAGTCATACCCAATGCGTCGGGGCCGATCAAACTCTTCTGTGACAACACTGGAGCTATTGCCCTGGCCAAGGAGCCCAGGTTTCACAAGAATACCAGGCACATCAAGCGTCGTTTCAACTCCATCCGTGAAAATGTTCAAGATGGAGACATAGATATTTGCAAAGTACATACGGCTCTGAATGTCGCAGATCCGTTGACTAAACCTCTCTCGCGAGCAAAACATGATCAACACAAGAACTCTATGGGTGTTCGATTCATCACAATGTAACTAGATTATTGACTCTAGTGCAAGTGGGAGACTGTTGGAAATATGCCCTAGAGGCAATAATAAAAGAATTATTATTATATTTCCTTGTTCATGATAATTGTCTTTTATTCATGCTATAACTGTATTATCCGGAAATCGTAATACACGTGTGAATACATAGACCACAATACGTCCCTAGTAAGCCTCTAGTTGACTAGCTCGTTGGTCAACAGATAGTCATGGTTTCCTGACTATGGACATCAGATGTCATTGACAACGGGATCACGTCATTAGGAGAATGACGTGATGGACAAGACCCAATCCTAAGCATAGCATAAGATCGTGTAGTTCGTTTTGCTAGAGCTTTTTCAATGTCAAGTATCTCTTCCTTAGACCATGAGATCATGTAACTCCCGGATACCGTAGGAGTGCTTTGGGTGTACCAAACGTCACAACGTAACTGGGTGACTATAAAGGTGCACTACAGATATCTCCGAAAGTGTCTGTTGGGTTGACACGGATCGAGACTGGGATTTGTCACTCCGTATGAGGGAGAGGTATCTCTGGGCCCACTCGGTAATGCATCATCATAATGAGCTCAAAGTGACCAAGTGTTGGGTCATGGGATCATGCATTACGGTACGAGTAAAGTGACTTGCCGGTAACGAGGCTGAACGAGGTATTGGGATACCGACGATCGAGTCTCAGGCTTGTAACGTACCGATTGACAAAGGGAATAGTATACGGGGTTGTTCGAATCCTCGACATCGTGGTTCATCCGATGAGATCATCGAGGAGCATGTGGGAGCCAACATGGGTATCCAGATCCCGCTGTTGGTTATTGCCCGAGAGCCGTCTCGATCATGTCTACGTGTCTCCCGAACCCGTAGGGTCTACACACTTAAGGTTCGGTGACGCTAGGGTTGTATGAATATGAGTATGCAGTATACCGAATGTTGTTCGGAGTCCCAGATGAGATCCCGAACGTCACGAGGAGTTTCGGAATGGTCCGGCGGTAAAGAATTATATATTGGAAGTAGTATTTCGGCCATCGGGAAAGTTTTGGGGTCACCCGGTATTGTACCGGGACCACCGGAACGGTCCCGGGGGTCCACCGGGTGGGGCCACCCATCCCGGAGGGCCCCATGGGCTGAAGTGGGAGGGGAGACAGCCCATAGTGGGCTGGTGCTCCCCCCTAGGCCCACCCCCTGCGCCTAGGGTTGAAACCCTAGGGTGAGGGGGGGGGCGCACCACATGCCTTGGGGGGCACTCCTCCCCCCTTGGCCGCCGCCCCCTTGGGAGATTGAATCTCCCAGGGCCGCCCCCCCCCTGGGGGCCTATATAAAGGGAGGGGGGAGAGGGGCAGCCGCACCCTGAAGTCCTGGCGCCCCTCCCCCTGCTACACCTCTTCCTCCTCCGTCACGTGCTTGGCGAAGCCCTGCCGGAGTGTTGCTGTTCCACCACCACCACGCCGTTGTGCTGCTGCTGGAGCCATCATCATCAACCTCTCCTTCCCCCTTGCTGGATCAAGAAGGAGGAGACGTCACACGCACCGTACGTGTGTTGAACGCGGAGGTGCCGTCCGTTCGGCGCTAGGATCTCCGGTGATCTGAATCACGGCGAGTACGACTCCATCATCACCGCTCCACCTAACGCTTCCGTACGCGATCTACAAGTGGTATGTAGATGCAAACTCACTCCCTTGACTCGTTGCTTAGATGAACTCATAGATGGATCTTGGTGAAACCGTAGGAAAAATTTTAATTTTCTGCAACGTTCTCCAACAGGCATACCTTGCTCAGTGGAACAAACTCCTGTCACGTGAAAAGAAATGCAAAATTAAATTATTCGGTATAAACATCATACAACAAAGTAAACTCTTTACTCCGCCTTCTGTTTTAGTTAAGTACATAGTAAGATAACTAGCCTAGAACAAAAAAAATAGTATCTTGCACTGTTCTTCCCCATCAATATTACAGAAACTAGTTTTCTTTTGTTTAATCATCAACAGAATTGCAGATTGAAAATGAAATCACGTTGAAATTTTGAAGTTTGGTATCCTGTAGAAACTAGGATGGATTTTAATGGGTAGAGAAAAGACCGTGGTGAGCTACTCATTTATTGATGTCTAGGCACATTATGAAGAACAAAACCATAGCGAACTACAAATAAATCATAGGGCTGGAGGTCTGATTTGGTAACTCAGGTAGTAAATGTCATAATAATTTTCATGGATTAGAGTATGAAGTCCAAAATCCATTTCTATTATCAGGCAAACAGCCCTATAAACAGACTCCACGACCCAACCCTCAGTTATATAATTCCGACATCCAACCATGGTGGAACCAGAGTAAATGCATGAACACTCAACAGTGTAGACAGAACGAGAATTACCTCAGAGCGATCATGATCATAACAAACAAGAAATCTGCAGCGGCACCCCCTTACGTCATGCGTGCGCCTTTGAACTTGAAGAACATGCGCATCAAAATACTGGGCCTGGTCTTTGCCTTCCTGTTCAATTCAGCAGAGAAATCAACTTGAGTAAATGATAACACTACATGATGAGATACCTAAATCACATGAAAATAGGTTGTCTCTTTAATCAACTTTCCTTCACTGTGTTATTTACACGCAGTGACCAAAACTCCTTAATCAGACCCTCAACAATACTCTAATTTGAGTATATAATACTGTCTTGAAATACCAGTGTTTGTGCACATTTCCTCTCAATGCTCTAATTTATCTGCATACCAGTGTTTGTGTGCAACTACCAACATGAGGATTTATTAGACAACCTTATTTGATGAAAGTTGGTTTTATCCACTTTATAAATGACCATAGATAGGTTACAGCCATCATTTTGAAAAACAAAAAAGAAGCTTTCAGTGCTCAATTTAATAATGAATTAATAATATTATTATTGGATAAATTCACACCAAATTTTAGATATAAAATTTGTTTTAGTACTCAAAAGTATCACATAATAAAATGCATTGATTTTTACGATCGTTTGGCCATTCATGCCTCGATAAATAAATGGTGAAATCAATTGTGCCGGTTGGACCAAGTGGCATCACAGTGATCTACTATGTAATATGATTTCTAAGAATATGGAAAGACACAGCAAACACATGTTGTAGTTAAATGCCTTATTTAATCCAGTATATATCGCATATAAAATACATGCAGTACTGAAACTTACAATTCTTAAAGATTATTGAAGTAAAGCCATTTAATAAGTGTTGTCAACCACAATTGTTTGAAAACTCACAAACTGGAATAACAACTTTTAGAAATATATACAAAAACAAGAAATAGAACCTACATAAACTGCAGAACATTAAGTGTCAGCAAGGAACATCAATCTCTTGGTCATGTGCACACAGTCAAAACGAAAACTTTGAAATACTCTGGGCAGGTGAAACCCAGCTGACATACCCATCACTACTCTATCATCCGCCAACAAGGAACAGAAAGAAAGTAAACATGGAATAGTAAGTTAACAAGCAGAATTTCAAGTGCACAACAAAAGAAAAATGGAGCAGCAATCATGGATTGGATACATATTCTGTGGCTAAAATAAACTGGGTTAGTATTCCAAAAGGTAACTTAAAGTTTCATGAAGACATGAATTATCAAGTTGTGAGATGCTAACTTGCCAAGTCAGGTGAAGAGAACTCGTTTAAAATGGCTACCTTAAAACAAAGAATGAGATCCCCAGGCAGCACCGCAACACATTGAAGAGAACGCAGTCTCACACATTTCTGAACATCAACCCATTCATCCTCCTCGGGTCCAAGCCAAGTAAATCGAACTAGTAGTTCCTGAAACAAAATAAATAAATAAGTGCAAGCACAGTATGCACACGTATTGAACCCACTGAGCAGAGTGATTAAACACTAGAGAAACTTGGGTATTCTATAATTCTTGGAAAATGATCGAGTGTAGTTTTCACCCTTGACTGTGGCAAGAAGCTCAAATCGCTCCTAACCTCATGTATCACTTAGGAATCGACGGTTTTTGGAACTCCTCACAGCCCATTGGTGTCCGTCAAACACGTTTGCCTTCCGCGCTTGCCACATACACTACACCTACATGATGCAAACTTCTTTCCGTACTATGGCTGTGACTTCTTCCTTTGGTGTGTGTGGAGGCAACCAAGAGTCTAAAACAGTAATACTACTGCTGTTGTGATTCTCCATGGATAACTGGAAGTAATAAATACTAGAATTACGGCAAATCATCCAACATGGGCAGACACATCAAGAAACAAAGTTTTGGCAGCTAGTACCGCCATGGTGTGGATGACAGGTAGTAAGCACAGAGTTCGATGGATCAGTTAGTTAATTTGTGAATTAACACAACATGGATGTTAATTTGGGAATTAACACAACATGGATACATAGGCTTTACTGTTTGAATGCGTATGAGAATGGGTCTGGAATTTGCGCCTGGTTATTTATTGAAAAATTACACCTGGTTATTCACTGGAAAAAAAAACTCTTATGCAATGATATTTGTACCCAATGTTGTTGCTAAGTTGCTGCACATTTGTTGTATTATATATGTTGTTGCTAGCTTTGCTGCACATTTTATCATCCCTTTCTCCCCTTATGAAGTAAGGGTTCATAAGACAAAATCCCGGCCCATTTGCATCTTTGGTTTTCGTTTTCCCCTTTAAAAGAGTTTAATACGAGGAACCCTCTTTAGTGATACTATGTTTTTGAAAATGACCATATACCCATAATATTAATAAAATTGTAATGTGGCAATATCATCTAACAATTAACGCTCTTCTTCATCTACGATTAAATATCAGAAGATAAATAAAAGACCAATCTAGCAATTTACTGTCTCAAAACTGGTAGATTAAAATACCCAAACTGCAATCTTGCAAACTAGCAGTACTATTTCTGTTGCCTCTTCCTTAAGGAAATGTACAATACAAGCACCTAGCTAGGCAGGTTTGTTTGTTCCGGTGTTCGGTATCGATGCCCGTCCTAGTTGCTGGCTATGCGGAAGAGGAGCAGGAAGGACTTGATTATGAATTGACCTTGCAGGGACGATGACAAAGTCCTGCTGAGCAGACCAGAATTTAACTTATATTAATAACCCATTTTCGAGGAGACTACTGTGTGATGGCCATCGTCAAGGCCACGTCATGCCATCATTGATGATTGGATCATGACATCATGATCACGGAATGGAATGCGCGATCAGGTGGTGCAGATTGTGTCGTGTGCGTTAGGATGTTATATTGCACGTTCGGCCGTTCGCACCATATACATAATCTAATTTTCCCTATGTTGACTATAGATCATGGGATTGGCAGAATGGGTCAGTGGTGTTCCATGGTGGCAATGCAGCTGAAAACCACCATTATAGTTTGATTCGCCAACACACAGGACTCGTACAACACAAAGTTAGATAAGACAGGTGTTCAAAATGTTATAACATCAATAGTGTCATCCAACTACAAATAGACAAGAACCGGAATCATCTCTAGCTTTAGTGCTAGCAAAGTGCTTGAATAAAGAATGCCAGAAATGAATTTAGTTACATCAATCCTGTTTAACAAAAAGTTTTATGGTCATTACCGGGTGCTTTGTTTCCGTGGGCCTGTGGGACAGAAAGGCAGCAACATCGTACCTGTAACAACAAGAATTGTTCAAGCATGTAGAACTGAAAGGTTCACGCAAGTAACCCTCTCACCCGACACAAACCCACACACACTCACGCGGAAAATTAACACACATACACAAAAGACGTATATATGATCATACCATGCGCCATTTCTAGCCGATTTTGCTTCAAACAGGACCTGGCCACCATCCGAAGGAATATTCCCTAATTGGTAACGACAGTATCAATAATCCATAATCGTCATGATACATTGTATGTGTTTGGTCGGTTACAAAACTAAAATCTTCTAAACAACAAACACGAAAATTGTGCCATGTGGCCAAGACTTATGAATAAAAATAAAGGGGGCACAAACCACGTGTCCTGCAATTGCCGAAATAAGCCTCAACAGTTGAGACAGCGTGACGACATGATTTGAAGGGCCCACAAATACAAAGAACTACATGCTAGGCTATAAAGTCTCAGAACCCGCCAACATTAAATTGAGTTAAAATTTCTGTCTGCTGTTCTGAATAAAAGTAAAGGGCCCACAATCAATCATGTGTCCTGGAGTATCCCAAAGGAGCTTCAACGACCCAGGCAACGGGACAGCATGTTTTGATGTGCCCACAAAAAATTACAGGCTAGGCTATATGAAATCAAAAGAACTCGCCAAAATTAACTCGATTGCCATTATTTCCCTGCAGTTGTGCATACATGTAATGGGCACACGAACCACCTGTCGTGCAATTTCCCAAATGGCGACAACGACTAATCGATACAGCATGACAACAGGGTTCACGCCATGCAGAACCTTTAAGGAGCCCTAGACATCGAGAGAGGTACCCCTGCCCACAACATATGTAAGGAGCACAACACTTGTATGCATAAATTCTCCACCACCAGAGCTTTAGAAATAGACATCCTAGCAACTGAACTATCAGTTCAATTTTTACATCTGAGTATGTGGAAAAAAACAGCTTATTAAGTTAAGATGAGGATTTCAGCAGCACCTGAGTAGGATACGTCCACTGGGTGGTGTTCCTCGGCCACCGGAGGCATCATCATCATCCTAATACTACGGTTCTGGAACCAATTCCTCACCTGCGACCACCCAACTCAAATCAACATGTATAGATCCGAATAGGAGATAAGACGGAGCAGATCTTGGGGAACCGGGATGGAAAATCTACTAGTACCTGATTGTACTGGACGGAGACCTTGCCGTGGCCGGAGCAGTGAGATGACTGAGCAGATTCGTCGGAGATGGAGATGGAGATGGAGAGGGGTGGGAGGGCGAAGCATACGATACCAGTTGAGCAGGTTGTGTGTTACCAGCCTCTGATGTAAGAGAAGGCAATCTTTTGCAATTAATGTTCTGCAATTAATCTTATTATTAATTCCCTGGGGTAAAAGAAGCAAATAATTAAGGGGTGCTAATTCCGGTCAGAATTTGTGCAAGTCCTACCCAAGGACCCCGTTCCTGCCAGGTCTTTTGGCCGTGCAATGTGGTACGTCCAGGTAGGTTCAGTGTGCACACATTCGATGCCAGGTGGTCCATGTACAGCTGTGTAGGTTCAGTGTGCACATTGAACGCCAGGTGGTGTAGAGCCGAGTCACTAGCTGCGCTGAGCTTACTTGCATCCATTCACCCCATCCCTGCCAAGCGACTCACCATATTGGGATTTACGATTTGCTGAAAGGGGTCACATCATGGTCGCCGTCACCGCACCTAGCCCGTGGGCAGTTGGAGCTGCCCAGCCCGAGCGACTTGCCCTAGATGCGCCCGACCATGGGCAATGCACCGACACAAATCGACCCGCCCTTCCCCGTGAACCTCACCGATTGATGTCCCATCGCTTCGTAATTATTAGGCGTATGGTTAGTGTAAGATTAAACCATGTCTAAAATAGTGAGGTCATCCATGATGTCATCCTAGGGCATGAGGTCAGCAGTGATGTCATCTAGAACATGACATAAGCAATGAGGTCATCGGCCTCATTGAGCGGTTTATTTGTTCTTGTAAAGGACTAGTATTTCTTCATCTTGCGCAAAAAAATTCATGAGAGAAAGCATTTGGCTTCAATCAGTGGAGCTTTGAGTAGTAGCACACGCCGAGCCAGCTATTGGAAGTGCTCCTGAGCCCTCACAGTTTGGGACCTAAGAACAGTAGTAGCGTTTAACCATTGGCACCAAAGCATTATGCAGGCGACCATGTCGAGCGGAGGAGGACAAGAACGGTTAGCCTCCGGTGGCTCCAATATGCAACCACGACAGCGTTAATGTTCGGCGGTTCCAAGATGCCGCCGAGGTACTAGCAACATTGCTCTCTGAGTTGTGGGCGCATTAGGACATGTCGCACTTCGGGTGCTGAGATTATAGTAAGGGAGATCGTGCAGGAGGCTGGTGCTGGTAGCGGCACCAACCTCTCCTTCCCAATGCTCACCCGCACCGACTATTGTAGCTGGGCACTGGTATCATAGTGAACCTACAAGGGCCATGTCTATGGAACGCCATTAAGGATAACACCGTCTTGCTTAGAGAAACGGCAGACAGGCATGGGCCGTGCTGGTCCGCTCCAGCCCCTCCCCCACCCCGTGCTTCTCATGGAGATGCACAACATGCTCGCCTGGAAGGTGAGCGTCAAGGAGGCATGCGCTTCGTTAAAAACCCAGCGCCTTGGCAGCCAACGTATGCATGCGGCAAAAGAGTATAGGTTGTGTGCGAAGATCGAGTCCATCATCTTCAAGGACGCTGAGCGAGTTGATGGCTACCCTACAAGGATCACCAGCCTCGCCACCTCGCTCGGCTCCCTCGACAACGACGTCGATGACAAAGATAGTCCAAAAATTTCTTTACATTGTCTTTTCCAGTTTTGCACAAGTGGCAATCTTCATGAGACTCTGATTGCTTTGTGCATGATCTCCATCGAGGAGCTTACGGGGAAGCTCCAGGTTGTTGAGGACCGTCTAGATGATAGTAGGGAAAGCGCTAGTAGCGGATGCCTAATTCACACTCAGAAGGAGTGGAAGGCGAAGAAGAGGCAGTCGTGTGGCGGTAGAGCTTCGAGCAAAGGTGGTGGTCATGGCCACAGGCACTGAGGCAGTGGAAACCGTGCGCGGAAGCTAGGACAAACCCAGCAATAGGGGGGCTAGCACCGCTCCCTAAAACAGTGAAGACTAGAACATATGTTAGTATTTTGGCAATAAGGGCCACTGGGCCTGCGAGTGTTGCAAGAAGCAACGTTATGTGGCGATCTCATACAGAGTGAGGAAGATGAGGGACTAGGTCTGGTGATGGCCTTCGTCGAGTCAGTCAAGGAGGACTCGACGTCTGTTTGTACTAGCTTCTAGGTCGCGAACTCGAGCTCATTCATAACCGTGAGCACGGTCCGACCACCGACGCACATGGGTGGCCACATTTTCCTCAATGCGGAGAAGGTGATGATCATGCCCATGCATAATGGAGAAAACCAATGTAAGATGTACTTCCAAGACAAGGGCGTGACAAACCACATGACCAGATCGGTTGACGCGTTCGGCAAGCTTGCCTGATTGATCTCCGGCAAGCTACAGTTCATGGACAGATCGCTTGTCGAAATCACAGCTGCGGGACTGCCGTCTTTGCCATCGACAAGGGAGAAAACCGGGCGCATGGATGCGTTCTTAATCTTGTCCTACAGATCAGCGTTGTCTGGCTCGGCCAGCTAGACGAGAATTGGTATGATATCACCAATAACTGTGATGTGCTCACTGTGCGCCATCAGCTCAACTGCCTCCTCATCAAAGTAACACATGCACCGAATCACCTATACACACTTTCATTTCACCCAGGTCACGTCCGTCGGTAGGTTGTTGTGCCTCATCACTGGGCCATTTCACCAGCATGCCGGCGAGTTCTGTGAGGCGAGCTGAGTCAGTAGGTTGTTGTGGCGTACACTATGGCGCTGAGCTTACTTGCAGTGATTCACCCTGTTTGCAACAAGCGATTTACCATATTGGGATGGACGATTTACCGGAAGGGGTCACATCATGGTCGAGTTAACTGCACCTAGCCCACGAGTAGTCTCAAACAGCCTAGCCCCAGCGATCATGACTTGTCATTCCCTAGATGCCATGTATTGGTCATAAGGTCAATGCAACATACCGCTTTATGTAGATCAACCTTTCGTGTTTAATTTATGTACCGTAAATGTTCTGATAAAAAGAGTTATGTACCATAAATGAAGATCTGTGAGTACAATGTGCAAGAAATCTTCTGGTGCGTGTGCGCGTTCTTTGTTTTAGAAATTGTGCCTGTCTAGACCTTAACGAACAGATAAAATACACCACGACCACAAAACGACATGTTCTCCCATGAACTAGTTATATAGATATAGATACCAAAGCCAACAGAATTTTGGAAGTACACCACAACACAAATCAAGTCAACATCAACACACTACAGTTACCGGGCAACTATCCTTCCTCATTGAAGGTTCATAGACCAACATTTTTGTACTAAAAGTTCACAAAGAAATGCACAGGGAAGCGAAACAACTACGCTCCGACATTCATCTTGTCACCATGTGTTTTGCTTGTAGCTTCACCTTTTGGAGGAGCCTCGATGTCCCCCATCTGCTCATCTGCTACTGAATCTCTGTGGGTGCTATCAGGCATGATAAGCAAGGGAGCAGCCATGTCGTATGGCCCTCCTTGATTTGGTGGGCGGGGAACCATGGTGACCTTATCAGGGTTCATATCCATCCTCTTGCGCGACTTTTTAGCTTTCTGCTCAGCTAGGCTATGATCAATTACAATATTAATATTAACATCAGCAGATGGTCGACGACATACTTTCCTCAACGGAACAATCTCCTGTCACGTGAAAATAAATTAAAAATCAAGGGACAACTTTTCCAAAAAATATATTTATTCATGCTAAACATGGTAAATTCATCACTCTGCGCTTTCCGTTTTATTTGACTACATGTTGAGATAATTAACAGAGAACAAAAAAAATAATAGTATTATGCACTGTTATTCTTCCCCATCTATCTTCCTTGAACATTCAGATTTATATTGTATGGTTGCCAAAGAAATTGCAGATTGGAGATGAAATCACAAGGAAATTCCAAAGTAAGTTTGGTTTCCTTCTAAGACTAGGATGGGTTTTGATGGGTCGACATAGGACCATGGAGAGCTACTTATCTATTGATGTCCAGGCATGTTATGAAGAAGAAAACCATACCCAACTACATATAAAACATATGGACGGAGATATGATTTGGCAGCTCGGGTAGTAGTTGTCATCAAGTTCCAGGATAAATTCCAAAATATAACTCTATTTGCAGGCAAACAACCCTGGCCCCAATTATGAGATCCAAGCACGGTGTAACATTTAACCAGAGTAAATGCATGCAGGCACAACAGTGTTAGAAAGACGAAGAGTTACCTCAGAGTGATCATGATCATAACGAACAAGAAAACTGCAGAGGCAACCCCTTATATCATGTGTGCGCCTTTCAACTTCAAGAACATGAGCATCAAAATAGAGGGCCTGCTCTTTTCCATCCTGTTTAATTCAGCACAGAAATGTTTATTCCTGTTAGAAATCAACTCGAAATTAATGATAACACCACATTACAAGACAACTAAATCGCGTGAAAAATAGATTGGCCCTTTTTTCATCTTTCATTCACAATTTTCTTTTATGGGACTTTAGTTCACAATGTTACTTACATGCACCCTGTGACCAAATCTCCTTACTCAGGCTCTCTATAATACTCCAATTTGAGTATGATATTGTCTTGAACTAGAAGTAAATTCATGCAAAATTAATCTCAACACTCTATTTTATCAGCATTGCTGTTTGTGCGCAACTACCAACATTAGTATTTATTAGGCAGCCTTATTTGATCAAAGTTGGAAAAGAAGCTTTACAATGCTCACTTTAATTATAACGTAATAATTATATTCATAGAATAAATTCACACCCAATTTCAGATTAAAATTAATTCTAATACTCAAAAGTATGATATTATTAATAAAATGTGGTGATTTTACAGTCATTTGGTCATTCACACCACTAATAAATGGTCAAAACAGTGCTGCCAGGTTGACCAAGTGGCATCACAGTAAAATTCTATTATGAAATATGATTACCAAGATATGGATAGTCCCAGGAAACATATGTTGTACTTAACTAAATGTCCTATTTACTGCAACTATCATGTTGTATATAGCATATAAAATGCATGCAGCAGTGGAACATGCAATTCATAAGGATTAAAAAAGGAAATTAATAATTATTGGCCTTTTATGTCTAAACAAATAAGGAATGTAGCCTATGAATTGAAGAACCTTGAGTGTCAACAGAGTTGAAATATCTAATTAACTACATCTCTTCAAAAAGGACCAAAAAATGCGTTGGCTAAGTAAGCAACAACCTTCTGTTTGGCTCAGCACTTTTCGCAGGTGAGATCTGACTGACATATCCAACACTCTTTCACAGGCCAACGAGTAACAGAAAGAAAATAACGGTAGAATAGTAAGTTAATGAACATAATTTTTAAGCGCATAAAAGAAAGCAAAATTGTAACAGCTTCCAGGGATTAGATCAATATTTTGTGGCTAAAATAAACCGGCTTAGTAATCCCGAAGGATAAATTAAAGCTTCATGAAGATATAAATTATCAGTTGTGCCATGCAAACTTGCTAAGTCAGGTTAAGAGAGGTCGTTTAAGATGACTACCTGATAACAAAGAATAAGATCCCCAGGAAGCACATCAACACATTCTCTGGCTACACATGGGAGAGAACGCAGCCTCAAAGATTTACAAACATTAATCCATTCTTCCTCCTCAGCCCAAAATCCAGAAAACCAAACTTGTACTTCCTGAAACAGAAAACAAAATTAGTGTAAATACAGTTGGCATAATGGACAGGTAGTGGACCCGCTGTGGATAGTGATTAAATACTACAGCGCATGCGCATTATATTATTCTCAGAAAATGATCGAGCCTAGTTTTCGCCGTCAACTGCGAAGAGAAGCGCAAATCACCCTAAACTGGTTTTGACAGTAATCTTTGCCATGTTGGCAGCAAGATCAACAAATCTGCTTCTCTTTATTTCTCTGTGTACATCTCTTTTCAACCCATACTCAAGTCGAATCACAAGGCCACAGCCACTGGCACAACAAGAATCACAGCTCACTTAGGACCCGACGGGTTTGTGCCCGTCAAACATGTTTGCCTTCCATGGTTGCTACATACACTAAAGACTACACCTACAAGGATGCAAAGTGATTTCTAAAACAATACTACTATTCCTGCTGTAATTCTCCATTAATATCTGAAAGAAAGAATGCTATATATAATTATGGCAAATCATCAAACTGACATGAAAACCTTCATTGTAGTTTGGTTCGCTTCAGTTCCTAGAACTCAAATGTAAATAGTACTATGGCTCGCGGTTTAAACCCGCTTCTCATGATAATTAAATGGAGTAACCTAAATTATTTGTTTGAAACATTTAATTTATATTGATGTTGTTGTACATGCTGAAACAGAGTGATGGTGGGAAGTAACTTTTTTACCATCTTGTAACATACACAACTTTCCCATGTAAGCTAAAGTAGGATATACACAAGCTTCTTAAGGTTGTGTTAACTGATCAGTACTTTAGTACCATCTTGTATAAGTGTAGAGAAGGATGGGGTGATATTTTCCCAATACACAGGACTTCTATAACACAAAGTTACTCCCTCCGTCCCATAATATAAGATGTTATTACAACCAAATTATGAGTACATTGACTGTAATAACATTTTATATTATAGGACGGAGGGAGTATATAAGAGGTGTGTCGAAAATATTTGGACCCCAATAATGTCCCTGCTGTAAAGTGTTAGGGCAATCTATCACACAGTGCCATCCATCTATAAATAGACGGGAATCATCTCTAGCTTTAGCAAAATGCTTGAATAAAGAATGGCAGAAATGAATTCAGTAACATAAATCATATTTTAATGTTCCCTGTTTCAAGAATATAGAGCTAGGAAATGAATTTACCTGGTCCCCAGTTTCAGAAAACCTGCAGGACTGAATGGCAGCAACATCATACCTGTAACAACAAAGAATGGTCATGCGTGAATTTCTTTTTTGAAAGATTCATGCAAGTAACGCGCCCACGCACACCCACATTCATGATAAAAATTAAATGACATACACACAAACAGACCACATGTGACATCAAAGGCACAAAAGAAGGAAGAGAGCAGAAAATATTTATATCTGCATACCATGCACCATTTCTTGGTGACTTTGCTTCAAGCTGGACAAGGTGACCATCCGAAGAACTATTCCCTGATTGGTAATGATAGTATCAATAATCCATAGTCGACATGATACATGGTATGTGTTCGTTCGGCTACAAAAAATTCAAAATCTTCAAAACAAGAAACAATAACATTGTGCCATCTGGCCTGCAATCCTCAACAAAAGTGGAGCTACAAGCTATGGATATGAAGAGCGCAGCACCTGAGTGGGATTCAGAGTTGGGAGGGGAAGATGAGTGAACCCAGTAGGAAGCTGGGTGCTGTGCCTCAGCCCCCGTGGGCAGCATCTTCTTCACTTGTGCCGGCGGCCGCTCACCCCTCCGCTTCTGCTTGTACCTCCGGTTCTGGAACCAGGTGTGCACCTGTGCCGACGCCGATCAGATCAGAATTACAAAAATAGGGCGGACTTGCTTGTATACTGTATCTTGGGCAACGTACCTGATTGTACTGGACGGGGACCTTGTCGTCGCCGGAGCGGTCCGGGGAGGCGTTGAAATCAGCGGTGAGTTTCTGGATGGCAGGACGCTTGGGCATGGCGTTGAGGTCACGGAGGACCTCCTCCATCTTGGAGACCTCCGCCAGGGTGAACCGGATTCTCCCCATCGTCCTAACTTGTCCGCCCCTCGCTGCCGCGCCTGAGTACCCCCGCCGGTGAGGTGAGGTAAGAATAAGATCACCACAACACAGCAGATTGGATTTGACGGAGATGGAGAACAGATTGGAGCGGAGGGAGGGAGGAGTAGGTTACCAGATCTGTGTGTGCTACTCCTGTGTCTGTGTCCGTGGGTGCCTCTCGAATCCATCTGTCGGCTCACGCGGCCGACACCCCTGTTTTGGTGCTCCTCACAAGCAATCGTGACCAACGTGGACGGTAGGCCCACCTTTTGGACGGTAGGACAAATATTGGCAGGCAAAGACAAAGACACGAAACACTGCTCAGACCCCGAGACTCGGACGCGCTCTCCCACTATGGTTGGATTGGATCCACCCCGGCGCTGAAGTGGTGATTGCAGTTCGGAACGGCGACCGTAAGTTCGAGGATGGTCGCCGTTTGTGGCCTGGAACGGCCTTGACGTCCAAATTTTACGGCCTGGAACGGACCGTCTGGTCCAAACTTCCTGATTTTCCGACCATCTCGAGATTTTCCTATAGCGATGTACTATTTTGGCCGTACAATTCGTACACGACCTCGGATTGAGATGATCCAAAATTCATAGTTGTTCGTAAGAAAAAAATATCATGAAAACATTTTCCATTTGGAGTCACATTAATTGTGTTTTCTTCCATGCCATAATCTAGTGTCAACAGATGCATATCTGAAATGGTCATAACTTTTGTATTAGACTCAATTTTTGACCATCCCCATATTTATATTGATCTTCACAGTGAGGGGCCATCCAATGCCATAAATTTGACTTCATCTTTCTATAGATTAAAGCCACTCATAGGATCATGCCACTTTTGAGCGTCAACACCCCCGCCATCGCTGATGCACGATGATGATTAGCTTGCCTCAACTGCTCATGATGATTGGACCTTTGCAGACCTTGACCCCCATTCCACCCTTGCGGACATTGTAGGCCTTGATTGTGGACGATACGCTTCCAGCAAGGTACGACGAGCAACCCGCCAAACAAGCAATGGCCGGTCAACGCGAATAAACCAAAGAGAGAAGGTGATTGAAGAAATTGGAACACAATGCCCCAAATTTTTGATTGAAATCCTGAAATGCCGAAAGTATAGTAGCAGCTTTCCATGCGGTCTGGATGCTGCTAATAAACAATGATTTAAATATTTTAAAATTCAAAACAAAACTTCAATGAGCTGGTGTATTTCTTTATTTATATTACTTTGATAAAGAAACCCTAAAAATACATTAAGAAAAAATAGAACACAAGAACCCAAAATTTTTCTCTCAAACCGGACACTTCCCCGCTTCAAAACTACAAATCTCCCGATGGATATCTGAATCTATTGGGTTTGAATGCAACATATCACATAACTTTTGTGTAACACTTTGAAATTTTAACCACATATTAAAAAAATCACGTGATGACACCATGCAAACTTTCAATTTTTTAGACATCGTTTACATCATTTAAATTGTGCTTAAAATCCTAAAATGGCAATTTACTAGTAGAGACGTGAAGCCAAGGAGGGAACATGGCTAGTTGATGATCTACCAGTGCGACGTGTAGGGTGCACGCTGCTAACTACCAATACAATAACATTTTATATGTTCAAAACAAAACTCCAAAGATTTGTGTGTTTGATTTTTTATATTACTTTCGCCAGAACACCTAAAGGTACATTAAAAGATTGGAACAAAATATCCCATCTTTTTGACCAAAAAATTGGAACACAAGACCCACAAAAATAGTGTCTCCGTGCCCGTCGTTCGGATCCGCCACTCCGGAAACCAAGGGGATCCACCTTCAGCCACCACCCATTGTGTGGTGGGCTGCAAGCATGCATCCGCCTCCCCTATAGCCACACTAGCGCAACTTCGCCACCCACTACACCCCAAAGTTAGCAGCTTGCACCAACACAGAAAATGAACCCTACATCTGGGATACTGGGTGCCGAAAAGTAGCCACAAGTACCACCAACAAGGGGAGGCCATGCCCATGGAAGCTATCAAATGAGATCATTAGGCTATTGGATCTAGTGGATCCAGCCTATAGTGGTGGCCGGGAACCAACTCCACGACCACCACCCACCCACGAGTAGTTGTGCCAACATGACGCTGTGATAGTAGCCCGCCTCACACGCACGCACGACAAGGGTTGCGCCTCCACCAAGCAGGCCACGACTGGCCGAGACAGGGGGAGTCCACAGGGGGTGAGATCAGTACCTCGTTGCCGCCTAAGAGAGAGGGAGCATGCCCGGGTAACACGGGAAGTGAAGGAGGTGGATGAGGTGCCTCACCGCCACCATGGGCCCGCTACAGGCTATCGTCGGCAGCGCTAAGGGGAAGGAAAGTGAAGGAGGAGTTGGTTCGTGCGACGGCGGCATTCGTGCCATGAGTCACAGGAGCGACCCATGAGACGTGAGCAGAAACTTATTTCTAATATACTAAACACAGTTGCACATATGATTGTACTTCCGATTTCCGTATATCTTCTTTTCTGAACTTAGGCCGGAAATGGTAATGAAAATCAGCATGTTAAAAAAAACAAAATCGGGTTATACTAAATAAGTTTTTCTTGTGTCTGTCCTTTATCCACAAAAAATCTTGTTTGTGTGCAATAATGGCAAATCTGATTCATAAAAAGCGGCCATACATTCCAACGCCGTCATTATCCCGATGAAGGAGCGCCCATTTCATCTAGCAATGTTGCAATGTCATAGAATTTAGGTTTTGGAGAGCATCCTCCATATTCCATCTACTTCCTCCATGGATCTGCTTCCTCGATGGTGCCAATACATGCATGGTGATGCATTCAAATATGTCGTTAGTTGTCAATTGGAAGGGCAATATTAGCTTCTCCATCAGCTTCGGAAATGCGAGGAGTCAGCCACTGGTGGCAAATCGATCAAATGTGAACAGATAAAAAGAAGGAAAACAAGGAGCCGTTAATTGGCAGATGAAAGGAGAGAGCTAGATGTCCAGGTAGAAGAAGAGGATAAAGGGCGATCTATACATAGATCCCTTATTCCACGAGATGTATAGACGGATCCTCTATTTAGAGGGCCTTCCGTGGGATAAAATTACCGCTTGCTACTTCCAGTTACAGGAAATGACACAACTGCCAATATTTTATTTCAAGGGGGTGTACTGAAGGATAACCCTGAACCCTAACCCCAAAAGACAATACCCCCACAAAACAATATCTTCTCCGACGACATAGCTATATAGATATAGATACCCAATCCAACACTTTGAGCACCCCACAAGAAACCCAGTCAACATGGGCACATTACAGTTACTGGGCAACCATCCTTCCTCAATTGGAAGTTCTTAGGCAAACATTATTCGATTAAAAAATTCACAACAAAATGCACAGGGAAGTGAAAGAACTACACTCCCAGATTCATCTTGTCGTCATGCGCTCCATTTGCAGCTTCACTGTTTGGGGCAGCCTCCGTATCCCCCATCTCAACATCTGCCACAGAATAGCTGCAGCTGCTAGTAGGTGCGTCTAGTAAGGGAGCAAGCGCCTTTTCAGATGGCCCTCCTTGATCTGGTGGAATGGGAACCGCACCCCCGGTCACCGTGTCAGTGTTGACACTCATCATCTTGTGTGGCTTTTGGGAATTCTGGTGCATTGGTCGACGGCATACCTTGCTCAGTGAAACACACTCCTATCACATGAAAAGAAATGCCAAAATAAATTATTTGGTATAAACATCATAAAACAAACTAAACTCGTTATGCTTTCTTTTTCATTTGACTACATATAATAAGATAACTAGCCTAGAACAAAAAAAAGATAGTGTCTTACACTATTCTTCCCCATCAATCTTACGTGAACATTCATATTTCTTTTGTTCGGTCATAAAAAAATGCAGATTGGAAATGAAATCACATGGAAATTTTGAAGTAAGTTTGGTTGCCTACAGAAACTACTCATTTATATTAGAACTAAGTTATAGATGGTGTAGAGAATGTGATTGGAAAAGAAATCACATGGAAATCATGGGTAGAGAAAGGTCGTAGAGAATGTGATGGTCAGCTAGTCCTTTATAGATGTCCAGGCACGTTATAAATCATATAGGGATGAATGTCTGATTTGGCAACTCCGGTCGTAGTCGAAAAAAATCCATTTCTATTGTCAGGCCAACAGCCCTATAACAGAACTGAAGCTTCAGGACCCAAGCCTCAATTAATTCTGATATCCAACCATGGTGTAACAATGGAACCAGAGTAAATGCATGAACACTCAACAGTGTAGACAGAAGGAGAATTACCTCAGAGTGATCATGATCATAACAAACAAGAAACCTGCAGCGGCACCCCCTTACGTCATGCCTGCGCCTTTGAACTTGAAGAATTTGCGCATCAAAATAGCGGGCCTTGCCTTCCTGTTCAATTCAGCACAGAAATCAACTTGAGTAAATGATAACACTACATTATGAGACAGCTAAATCAACTTTCCCTCACTGTGTTATTTACACCCAGTGACCAAAAATCCTTACTCTACTTTGAGTATATAATACAGTCTTGAAAGAGCAGTAAAGTCATGCACATTTCCTCTCAATGCTCTAATTTATCGGCATACCGGTGTTTGCGCGCAATTACCAACATGAGGATTTATTGGACAACCTTATTTGATGAAAGTTGGTTTATCCACTTTATAAATGACCAGAGATAGGCTACAGCCTTCATTTTGAAAAACAAAAAAAAAGCTTTCAGTGCTCAATTTAATAATAAAGTAGTAATAAAATTCATTGGATAAATTCACAGCCAATTTTAGAATAAAATACAGTTTACTCGAAAGTATGACATAATAAAATGCATTGCTTTTATGGCCGTTTTCCCATTCGCGCCTCGACCAATAAATAGCCAAATAAATGGTGTCAGTTGGACCAAGTGGTATCACAGTGATCTAATATTTAGTATGATTACCAAGAATATGGAAAGACACATGAAACACATGTTGTGGTTAGATGTCTTTTGTAATCCAGTATATAGAGCGTATAAAATACATGCAGTACTGAAACTTACAATTCTTAAAAATTATTAAAGTAAAGCCGTTTAGTAAGTGTTGTCAACCACAATAGTTTGAAAACTCTCAAACTGGAATCATACCTTTTATAAGTATATACAAACAAGAAATAAAGCCTATATAAACTGCAGAACATTAAATGTCAGCAAGGAACATCGATCTCTTTGTCATGTGCACACAATCAAAACGAAAACTTTTTTTTTTGCGGAAAAGTCAAACGAAAACTTTTAAAGACTCTTGGCAGGTGAAATCCAAACCACATACCCATCACTACTCTATCATACGCCAACAAGTAACAGAAAGAAACTAACCGTTGAATAATAGGTTAACGAGCAGAATTTTCAGGTGCATAACAAAAGGAAAATGGAGAAGCTGTCAGGCATTGGATACATATTGTGTGGCTCAAATTAACTAGCTTAGTATTCCGAAGGGCAACATAATTTTTCATGAAGACATGAATTATCAAGTTTTGAGATGCTAACTTTCCTAGTCAGGTGAAAAGAAGTCGTTTAAGATGGCTACCTTAAAACAAAGAATGAGATCACCAGGCAGCACCGCAACACATTGAAGAGAACGCAGTCTCACACATTTCTGAACATCAACCCATTCATCCTCCTCGGGTACAAACCAAGTAAATCGAACTAGTACTTCCTGAAACAAAATAAATAAATAAGTGCAGGCACAGTTGGCATAATGGACACATATTGAACCCGCTGTGGAGAGTGACTGAACACTAGAGGAACATGGGTATTGAATATTTCTCGAACATGATCAAGGCTAGTTTCACCCTTAACTATGAAAAGAAGCGCAAATCACTCCTAACCACATGTATCACTTAGGACTGGAAGGTTTGTGCAAGTCCGCACCAGCCCATTGGTGTCCGTCAAACACGTTTGCCTTCTGCGCTTGCTACATGATGCAAACTTCTTTCCGTACTATGGCGGTGACTTCTTCCTTTGGTGTGTGTGGAGGCAACTAAGACTCCAAAACAGGACTACTACTGCTGTTGTGATTCTCCATAGATAACTCGAAGAAAGAAGTACCTGAATTATGGCAAATCGTTCAACTTAGGCAGACACATCAACAAAGTTTTGGCATCATGTGGATGACAGCATTAGAATGATCAGTTAGTTAATTTGGAAATTAACACAGCATGGATGTTAGTTAATTTGCAAATTAACACAGCCTGGATGCATATGCTTTACAGTTTGAATATGTACGAGTCTGGGTCTGCAATTTGTGCCTGGCTATTAATTGAAAAAGAAACTCTTATATATTGGTACTGAATGTTGTTGCTAGCTTGCTGCACATTTGTTGTATTACATATATTGGTACTATTTCTCTTGCATCTTTCATTAAAGAAATGTACAATACAAGAACGTAGCTAGCTAGGCACTTTGTCTCATAGATGCCCCTCCTTGTGGCTGGCTGCACGGAAGAGGAGCAGCCAGGACTTGATTATGATGACAAAGTCCTGTGGCGCTGGGAAGACCAGAAGTTAACTTAATAATCCATTTTGGAGGAGACTACTGTGCGATGGCTCTCGTTAGGGCCACGCAATTGATGATCGGATCATGACATCATGATCATGACAAACAATGCTTGGTGAAGTGGTGCAGATTGTGTTGCGTGTTAGGATGCTATTGCAAGTTCGCACCATATAAAAAATCAAATATTTTTTCTATGCTGACTATAGATCATGAGATTGGTAGGATGGGTAAGTGGGGTTCCATGGTGGCAATGCAGCTGAATGCGCTCGGTACATTTCCAAGCTGGCATGAAAACCACCATTGCAGTTTGATTCGCTTCAATTTCTACAGTTCAAGGACGATAATTGAAGGGGGTGAACTAACTTTTTCCTTTCTGAAACTCAGACATGTCTACAGAGCTATATAATCATTGGAAGAAACATTCAATTTATATTTTGTTTTACACGACAAAACAGAGAGATTGTGAAAGCAAGTTTTATACAACCAATTACCTTTCCATGTAAGCCTATAGTTGCAAATACACAAGGTTGTTAAAGTCTCCTTAACTGTTCAGTGCTTATTAGTACTATCTTGTGTTGTTAAAGACTCCCAAACATATAAAAATAAGCCAGGTGTTCAAAATGTTTTAACATCAATACTGTCACCAACTATAAAAAGACAAGAAACGGAATCATCTCTACCTTTAGTGCTAGCTAAGTGCTTGAATAAAGAATGGCAGAAATGAATTTACTAACATCAATCCTACTTAACAAAAAGTTTTATGGTCATTACCGGGTCCCTCGTTTCAGTGAACCTGTGGGACAGAAAGGCAGCAACATCGTACCTGTAACAACAAGAATTGGTCAAGCATGTAAAACTGAAAGGTTCACCCAAGTATCCCTCCCACCTCACACAGACCCACCCACACTCACGTGGAAAATTATATCACATACACAAAAACAGACCACATGTGACATGAAATGACATGAAAGAGGAAATGATGAAATATGTATATATCTTCATACCATGCTCCATTCCTAGCCGACTTTGCTTCAAACTGGACCTGGCCACCATCCGAAGAAATATTCCCTGATTGGTAATGGCAATATCAGTAAACAATAATCAACTTGATACACTATATGCATTTGGTCGGTTACAAAACTAAAATCTTCTAAACGACAAACAGGAAAATTCTGTCATGTGGCCTAGAGTTATGAATAAAAGTAAAGGGCGCACAAAGCACGTGTCTGGCAATTGCAAAAACGAGTCTCAACGGCTGGGACAGTGCGACGACAAACTTTGACGGGCCCACAAAAACAAAGAACTACATGCTAGGCTATAAAGTCCCAGAACCTGCCAACATTAACTTGAGTTGAAATTTTTGCCTGCTGTTCTGAATAAAAGTAATAGGCGCAGAAACAACCATGTGTCCTGCAATATCCCAAATTCAGTGGCTTCAAGGCCAGAGGCAATGGACCGGAATATTTTGATGTGCCCACAAAAAAGTACAGGCTAGGCTAAGTCGCCAAAATTAACTCGATTGCCACTTTTTGTCTGCAGTTGTGCATAAATCTAATATGCGCATGAACCACATGTCGTGCAATTGCCGAAATAGGCGTCAACAGGTGAGACAGCACAACAACAAGCTTCCTGACATGCAAAACCTTGTAACAACATGCCCTAGACACCGAGAGAGGGACCCCTGCACCCAACGGGTGAGGTTATGCAGAACTTCTGCAGCACGAAAGCTTTGCCAACGGACCATCATGTATCATCGTAGCAACTTAAGATCAGCCCAATTAAGTACATGGTAAGGAAATAAAGAGCTTATTAAGTTAAGATGGGGATTCCAGCAGCACCAAAGTAGGATCCGGCCACTGGGTGGTGTTCCTCGTCAACTGGGGTTAGCATCATCTTCCTGGCCCGCTGGGACTGCGCGGACCTCCGGTTATGGAACCAATTCCTCACCTGCGACCACCCAACACAAACCCACACGTATAGATCCAAGTAAGGAAATAGCTAGGGTGGAAGCGGATCTTGGGCAACCCACGGGGAGGGAAAAGCTATTAGTACCTGATTGTACTGGACGGGGACCTTGCCGTTGCCGGAGCGGTCCGGCGAGGCGTTGAAGTGATCGATGAGGCCCTGGATGACAGGACGCTTGGGCATGGCGTCGATCTCATTGAGGACCTCCTCCATCTTGGCGACCTCGGCATGGGTGAACCGGAACACGAGCCTTGGCGGCTCCCCCGTCATACTTCCCCTGGCTGCCGCACCTGCCTACGCGGTGAGATGAACAGAGTCGTCGGAGATGGAGATGGAGATGAAGATAGAGAGGAGGGAGGAGAAGCTGGATCTACGTTACCAGTTGTGTGTCACCAGCGGCTGTGTCCAGTTGGAGATGAAGAGGGGTGATGCAGCCCCTTTTGGCACTCCTCCTCACACGCACGCAACCTACTTTTGCAATTAATGTAGTGCAATTCATTACATTAATTCCCCAGGATAAAACAAATACTGGGCGTGCTAATTCCGGTCAGAATTTGTGCAAGTCCAGCCCCAGACAGTGACTCCAGTTTACCTACCCAATGACCCCGTTCCTGCCAGGTGTTTTTGGGTCCAATTTTGTACGACAAATATTAGCATGCTCCTTCTTACCTCCCCTTTTCATATGAAAAGTAACTGTACATAATAGATCTAAGCCATTGATTTAATTAAATAATGGCCTGATTAATTCTTACCTTCTTACCTCTAATGTGAAAAGAGGGGGTAAGAGGGAGCATGTTATAATTACTAATGTTGTACGGGTAGGTTCAGTAGAGCCGACCGAGTCAGTAGGTTGCTTCTGCGTATACTGAGCTTACCAAAACAATGTCATCATATTCGTCATCAAATGAATTTGGTCAAAGTTAAAAAATGTCTTTTCAAAAACTAATACACCTTATATTTTGGAACCCATGGAGTGTCTGGTTTGGTGAGTTAGGGAGATGATTGACTGTGTTTTATTTTTATCTATCATTATACTAGAATGTTTTGATTGGGCCTTTTGCAGTGTGATTCTTAGTTATATTCTAATCAGCACATGCTTATGTTGGCGCGGTAGATCCTCGCTCTCGCTCAACACCGCTCTCGCTCTCCCCTCGGGTCGCCCCCGCGCGGCGACCGGGGAAAACCCTAGCTAGCCGCCGTCGGTCCCCAGCCTTCCCTCACCCTCCCTCGCCGTCGCCTTGGGGATCGGCCGGGCAAAGCCCGACCGGATCCGGCGGCGGCGGGGCTTTCTTCGGTCTCCCGCGAGTGGTGGCCGGCGCGGCGGGTCCTCCTGTGGCCGGAGCGCGGCACGGACGCCGGGCGGCGCGACGTGGCGATGTGTTTGTGTTGGTGGGCGCTAGCGGCCTCTCCAGGCTTCAGGCGACGGGGGTGGTGCTGGTGGTGCGTGTGGGGGGCAGCTACGTCGGTAGGGGGCTTCATGCAGATCTGCGTGGCGGCTTCCTGGCGCGGCGAGTGCCGTGGGCGGCGCGGTTGCAGCATGAGTGGGGCTGCTGCTGGCCAGCGGGTGGTGACGGCTTGTCCGGATCCGCCCCTGTCACTGCGGGCTATGGGCGGACCTCTCGCCGTGGCGTGATGGTGAGGGGGCGGCGTGACAACAGTGGAGGTGGGCGGCCCTCGTCTAGTCGGGCCCTTCCGGCTAGACGGTGGCGCTCGGCGCGGGAGGACCTCTCTGATGGGCTACCTCGGCTGCGGCGGCGGGTCGATTTGGTTTCCCTCATCGATGGGTGCGCGTTTGTGGATGGCCTCGCGGAGAGATGTGCCTGCTTCCATGGTGGGGCGAAAAGGGGGTGCTCGCGGGGGAGATTGGTAGGAGGGATGGCTGGCCTCGATGCGGTCGCGCCACCTGTCGCCGGCACTTTTGCCGGTCCGGATGCGTCCGCTCCTCCTCCTCCCCCTTTCCTCGTGTTTGGCGGGGAGCTCGGTTGGAGGGATGGGTGGCCTCGATGCAGTTGCGTCACCTGTCGCTGGCACGGGGTGTGCCGGTCCGGATTCGTCCGCTCCCCTTTCTCCCCCGTTCCTCGGCCGCGGGTGGGTTGGCGCAGATCTACCAGCGGAGCATCTACGGGTGGTTCTGTCAGTCGAGGGCCGTCAGTTGGTCCAAAGCCAGGGCCTTTGTGTAGGTCTCGGGGTTGTCTGGTTGCAGGGCGGCGGCTCTGGCCATGGGAGGCGTGGCGTTTATGGGCGGAGCATGCGTCTCAGGTGCAGGCGGGCAACCATGGCCTCGCGGGTGGCGTGTTTGCGGGTGGTTGACGGAGTTAGGGTGTGATGGTGGGATGTGAGCGACGGGGTACACCACTTGCCCAGTCCTTTGACTAGCTGACGATGGCGGCGGCCGTTATCACCGTACCCTTCCTGAAGGCTCCGTCGCGGTGCTCCCACTCATGTCGTCTTTCTCCGGGTGAAAACCTGATCTTCCCGGATCGGGCGGTGTCGGCTATCCTAGGTCGTAACCTTCTTGGAGGCACCACTTTTGAGGCCTAGCTTCGATGTTGTCTGATTCACCTCTCTATTGTTGTTGGTGGGGTGGTGTGTCGGTGCCCGGCACCTTTGTATCTTGCCTTGGGTGTGTGCGTTGTTCGGTCTCTCAGATGTATTCGGTGATGTTTGCTTTATAATATAAAGCAGGGGGAAACCATTTTTTGGTTATAGTGGCCCTACAGTATCGCATGTTTTCGCTTCTTTTTTCTAGGTGGGAAAGGGGTGCACGAGATTGATATGTTTTAAAAAATTGGTTGATGCTGATTGATTTAAAAAAATCATTAACCTGGTAAAAATGTGAACCAAATCCAAATTTGAATACGTTAATCAAATGGGGGAGCTTCAAAATTAAGAAGCATAGAGAACAAAAAGAATAGAACAAGAAGAAATTGTTGACCCGGTCAAAATGGAGTGACCCAATTCTAAATTGGAGACCTCAATTGAATATGAGGCCTCAAAAATTAGGAAGCCTAGCGTATTAGATATGGTTAGTGTAGGACTAAACCAACTATAAAAAGTGAGGTCAGCCATGATGTCATCTTACGACATGAGGTCAGCAATCATGTCATCTAGGGCATGACATAAGCAATGAGGTTGATGGCTCGTGTGTGCGTCAGTTTTTCCCCGAAGAGGAAGGGTTGATGCAGCACAGCTACGATAGGTATTTCCCTGAGTGATGAAACCAAGGTTATCGAACCAGTAGGAAAACCAAGCAACACTATGTAAACGTTATCTGCACACAAAGAACAAATACTTGCAACCCGACGCGTAAGCCCTCTCGGGTAAAAGATAAATTTGTTTGTATGATTTTCGATAAATAGATCTCTCGATAAAAAAATAAAAAAATGAAGAAAGAATGCAGCAAGGTATTTTTGGTTTTTTAGAATTATAGATCTTAAAATAAAAGCACATAAAAGTAGATCTCAAAGCAAATATGATAAAGAATAGACTCGGGGGCCGTAGATTTCACTAGTGGCTTCTCTCGAGAAAATTAACATACCAGGGGTAAACAAATTAATGTTGGGCAATTGATAGAACCTCAAATAGTTATGATGATATCCAGAAAATGATTATTATATAGGCATCACGTTCAAGATTAGTAGACCGACTCTTGCCTGCATGTGAGTTATGCCACACCGAATCCAAGAGATTTGTCCTTCCATTGTATGGCACGACAAGGGATCTTCTTGCCTCAGGTAAATAGGAAGTTTGCATCTCCTTCTAGTGTGTAGAAACGGTTCTAATCTGACATCTCTTGAAATAGGCTTTCGGCTCGCTATATAGATAAAGCAACGGTCCAAACTACCAACATCCAACAGTGTACTCATAAAAATGGCTGGGGCAACAGCACAATCATGCCCAAAGAAAAAAAAATAGAACAAACACCACCTAGTGGCTGCTGCCAAGCAGCCCTACAAAACCGACAGTCAATGCGCCGTAACCAGAAGCGCATCCATCATGAGACCGAGGTGATCACGATCACACTACCTCGAGACCAGCAACCAGTGCTGTAAAAAGGCAAGAAATTTGAAGATGGAGTCAGACGCTTGCCTCGGGATGACCTTCTCGATCACCAACTTGTTATGAGTCATCCATAGTTTCCAAGACAATCCCGCAAATATAAGCCAAAATAAGCGTCGGTGCCGTGTACACTGTGTAGCCTTATACTATACGAACTCCGCAAGGCTAAGGGCCTCCAATTCAGGCCCCAGTGCTTCGCAGACGTACGTCCAAAGTACCTGTGCCGCCGTGCAAGAGAGCAGGATATGTGTCCCTGTCTCTAGTACCGCACAAAGGGGGCACTGGCCATCACTCGGGTCGTCCCGCTTCAGGACCTTAGTCCCCGAAGGGAGGCGATCACGAAGTTACAGCCACACAAAGATCTTAATCTTCAATTGTAAAGGGGCTTTCCACAAGGGAGAAAGGCAAGGGGTGCTCGGAGACTCGCATAGAGCATGGTATGCCATGCGCACCGAAAACTCTGCGGTCGGAGATAGCCACCGAAAACTCCTCCTCCGACGCCATAATTGTACCTATCCGGATGCCCCCACACATCATAGGATGTCTACAGGCCCCACCAACATGCATGCCTCATTTGACTATGTTGTCGTCCACCCAAGATCCCTCAGCAGCTAGGTACCCTTCACCCCCGTGCTGACGACGTCCATAGCTTACACCACGCTCGGTAGGTGTTTGGTTAAATGTCGTTCAAACTTTGTGTCTTAACTTCTTGTTGTTTTGTAGAGTAAGCACGATGGTGGGGTACTCGGTGGTGAAGGAAGATGAGTTGATGTGGAATGTGTGGTTGGTCGTATTTGCAGACTTTGTATGTAGAAAATCAAGGGGTAGAATCATTTGGCAGCGTGTGCTGGTTCGTTTCATGCACGCACTACGACATGCACATCATCTATTTGAATTTGATATCGCGTAGATGGTACATCATGCGTAATTTGGCCATGAAGTATTGCGGTGTGGTTGCATGATTGGAGACATTGTGCCCATCTTCAACCATGGAAATCGTAAGTTTTGCTTCCTGTTGCTCCATATGTTGGTTAATTCATTCATCCACTCAATCTTCCTCTACAAGTTGTATGGACTACACGCGCTGTGGACATGTACTGCAGGACCGAGGGCAGGCCATTCATGCACATAGATTGTTGGATGAAGCTCAAGGGACAGTATGTGGGAAGACATGTGTCGGTTCCGACTCTAGTATCTCTTAATTTGGAATC